GCAGGAGGCACTGCCGGACCTCAGTGACCACTCTGAGCCCACTGACCACCAAGCTGAGCTGCAGTTTTACTTGGTGGTGACCTTGGCCTTGATCTCGGTGCTCTTCCTCCTGGCAGTGATTCTGGCGGTTGCCCTGAGTTTGCGACGCTCCTCCAGCCCTGCCACCTGGAGTTGCTTTCAGACTAACTTTTGCTCCAAAACTGGACCCGGAGTTCTCCCCAACTATGGGGAAGGGGCTTTACCATATTCCTACAATCTGTGTGCTGCCACACATTCCTCAAAGACTGAGTTTAAATTTCTCAATATAAAGCCTGAAAATGCTCTACCACGAGATCTTCTGTATAATGAAGCCTCTTGGCTTGAAAGTACCAGTAATGACAATCCCCAAATTGCTTGTAATTCAGTCAATTTGCAACAGGTGAGTTACTTCAAAACCTTTTCCTCCCATAAGTATAATTAGGTTTCGATTCACTATTTTAGAGGTCAAAAATATACAGGCTAAGTATGCCCTGTTTTTTGTGGGGCTTTTCTTTTTGGTGTTTTATTGATTTTTCTGGACATAGAATAGGGATGGGGAGGCTGTTAGAAATTCTTTGTTCACTAATCTGTGTTGCAGTTGTTCTTTCATGGAATATCGCTTAGTGATGATCTTGAAATTTCTGTTAATTCTAAAACAATATGTCCTGAAACATTTTTAATATGCTAGTATCTCATTCTCGTTGTAGGACATATTATTTATATATAATCTAGACAATTAAGTGGTTTACATGGTTTCAGTGTAGTCAGTCCTAAACTATGTTTTATATATAATATAAATATAAGAATACTTTTTCACTGTAGCCTATATATTTTCAGTTCCTTTGCATGTTCTTGAGGGTATAAACAAATATTGGCTAAATTAGGGCAGTTCTTAATCTATATGTTGATAAAAATAGGTAATGACGTCTAAAAATGGCAACTCTTGTGACCTAGTGGTGGATTGGTCCCAAACATGTTTGTGGTTGTTGGTACCCTTATTGAAAATGAGACAAATATAAATGATGGTGGAGTGTGGATTCAAGATTTATAGAAAAGTGTAAACGTATTTGTGTTCTCCAATGCCATAAGAAATGTCACAGAAATAAATGTCACTCCAGGGAACATAAAAAAATTTCAAAATACGCTATTTTATTCTTCCAAGTGCTTTTCATTCTTGGGGAGAGAAATATTGAGTGTCATCTATGCAGATTTAGCAGAAATAAGATCCTGTGTATAATGGTTTCCACGGAACCGTGCAGTATTAAGTTAGGACTCTAAGCGTCGCTGTTCACCAACCGGGCAAGGAAAGCAGTGAGAACTCGAGTTATATCCTCAAAGCACAAAGCACAACTTCCACCAAAGCTTTGCAGCTGCGCAGACATTCTGTCCTAAAACGCTTCGCATCTGATCGCGGCTTGTTTATGGACCTTGACCTCCAATTCTGAGAAGCCCCAAAATTGATGCGAACCTGTTCACCCTACTCGTAATCCCAGGGAAGTCCAGAACGAGCCAGTAATGGCGGCTCTGCAAAAGCGGCGGCACTACAGCGTATTTGTCCTGCTCTTCATGCTCCTGGGGACGCTGTGGGAGGCCGGGGCCGGGCAGATCCATTACTCCATTCCTGAGGAGCTGGACAAAGTCTCTTTCGTGGGCAACATTGCCAAGGATCTCGGGCTGGAGCCCCGGGAGCTGGCGGAGCGCGGAGTCCGCATCGTCCACAGAGGTAGGACGCAGCTTTTCGCTCTGAACCCGCAAAGCGGCAGTTTGGTCACCGCGGGCAGGATAGACCGGGAGGAGCTCTGCGCTCAGAGCGAGCCGTGTCTGGTGAGTTTTAACATCCTTGTTGAGGATAAATTGAATCTTTATCCCGTGGAAGTGGAAATAGTGGACATTAACGACAATGCACCCCGATTCTTAAGGGAAGAATTGGAAGTGAAAATTATCGAAAACGCAGCCTTATCTTCTCGGTTTCCGCTAATGGAGGTCTATGACCCGGATGTGGGAGTGAACTCTCTCCAGGGCTTCAAGCTCAGCGGGAATAGTCACTTCTCAGTGGACGTGCCAAGCGAAGCCAATGGGCCCAAATACCCGGAGCTTGTGCTGGAGCGCGCCCTGGACCGGGAGACAGAGGCCATTCACCGCCTGGTCCTTACTGCCATGGATGGCGGTGACCCTGTCCGCTCAGGCGTGGCTCGAATTCTGGTTACTGTCCTAGATGCAAATGACAACGCTCCAGTGTTTACTCAGTCTGTGTACCGTGTGAGTGTTCCTGAAAATCTTCCAGTAGGTACGCCAGTGTTGTCGGTAAATGCCAGGGACCAGGATGAAGGAGCCCACGCGGAAGTAACGTATTCTTTCGTGAGGATAACAGAAAAGATCTCAAAGACTTTCTGCTTGAATGTTTTGACTGGAGACATATCAACTTCTGCAAATCTAGACTATGAAGACTCCAGCTTTTATGAGCTGGATGTTGAAGCCCGGGATCGGCCAGGTCTACAAGACAGAGCCAAAGTCTTAATATCTATCTTGGATGTGAATGACAATGTACCAGAAGTGGTAGTTACCTCTGGAAGCAGGTCAGTTGCTGAAAGTACACTGCCAGGCACAGTGATTTTTCTTTTTCAAGTATATGATCGAGACTCTGGACTGAATGGCCTGGTAACATGTTCTATCTCAAGAAGTCTGCCGTTTGAACTGGAAAAATCAGTAGACAATTATTATCGATTAGTGACGAATACAGTTCTAGATCGAGAGCAGGTGTCTTCGTACAACATCACTGTGACAGCCACAGACAAAGGAATTCCATCTCTGTCTACAGAAATGCTCATCTCCCTAAATGTGGCAGACATCAATGACAACCCGCCTGTCTTTCCCCACACCTCCTACTCTGTCTATGTTCCTGAGAACAACCCCAGAGGTGCCTCCATCTTCTCAGTGACTGCACACGACCCTGACAGCCATGAGAATGCACAGGTCACCTACTCCCTAGCTGAAGACACCATCCAGGGGGGACCTCTATCCTCCTATGTTTCCATCAACTCCAATACTGGAGTCCTGTATGCATTGCGCTCCTTCGACTATGAGCAGTTTCATGACCTGCAATTGAGAGTGACTGCAAGTGACAGCGGGGACCCGCCGCTCAGCAGCAACGTGTCTCTGAGCATATTCGTGCTGGACCAGAACGACAACACACCTGAGATTCTGTACCCTGCCCTCCCCACTGACGGTTCTACTGGTGTGGAGCTGGCACCCCGCTCTGCAGAGCCCGGATACCTGGTGACCAAGGTGGTGGCTGTGGACAGAGACTCGGGCCAGAACGCCTGGCTGTCCTACCACCTGCTCAAGGCCAGTGAGCCAGGGCTCTTCGCGGTGGGGCTGCACACGGGCGAGGTGCGCACAGCGCGGGCCCTGCTGGACAGAGACGCGCTCAAGCAGAGCCTGGTGGTGGCCGTCCAGGACCACGGCCAGCCCCCTCTCTCCGCCACAGTCACTCTCACAGTGGCTGTGGCTGACAGCCTCCCAGATGTCCTGGCCGACTTGGGCAGCCTGGAGGTCCCGCACGACTCTGACGCTTCAGGCCTGACATTGTACCTGGTGGTGGCGGTGGCCGCGGTCTCCTGCGTCTTTCTTGCCTTTGTCATTGTGCTGCTGGCGCTCAGACTGCGGCGCTGGCAGAGATCACACGTGCTGCAAGCTTCGGGAGGTGTACCAGCGGGCTTACCTGCCTCTCACTTTGTGGGTGTGGACGGGGTGCGGGCTTTTCTGCAGACCTATTCCCACGAGGTCTCGCTCACCGCGGACTCGCGGAGTCACGTGATCTTTCCGCAGCCCAACTACGCGGACACGCTCATCAGCCAGGAGAGCTGTGAGAAAAGCGAGCCTCTTTTGATTCAGGAAGATTTTTGTAAAGAGCAAGACTCCCTTGTTCAGGTGAGGTTATTGCTTTTATTGTTCTTATTCGAACAGGAAAAATTAGAATTCTCTTTGATCAGTGCTTAGTTTTCTTAGTCTTTTGCAGTGAATCATATAGTTTTGAGAAGGTTTTTCTTTTATATCAGTAGAGGTCTATTAAATCTTAGTTTTCTCGAATTTCACCAAAATAAATCGTAATAATGTATGCCCTGAATTTCCTTTACTCCTCTCCTCTTGGCAAGCTCTTTGTGCCTTGGGTTGCTTACATCTCACTTCTTAGTTGTTTTCTTTTCTTTTTTTTCTATCATGTGGCATATCTGAGATTATTATTATTATTATTTTTTTTTTTGCGGTATGCGGGCTTCTCACTGTTGTGGCCTCTCTCGCTGCGGAGCCCAGGCTCCGGACGCGCAGGCTCAGCGGCCATGGCTCACGGGCCCAGCCGCTCCGCGGCATGTGGGATCCTCCCGGACCGGGGCACGAACCCGCGTCCCCTGCATCGGCAGGCGGACTCTCAACCACTGCGCCACCAGGGAAGCCCCTGAGATTATTTTTATACTGTGGAAAAAACTGAATCACAGCCTCTATTTAAAAAGATTAAGATCTGGGCTTCCCTGGTGGCGCAGTGGTTGGGAGTCCGCCTGCCTGCCGCTGCAGGGGACACTGGTTTCGTGCCCCGGTCCGGGAAGATCCCACATGCCGCGGAGCGGCTAGGCCCGTGAG